GGTATACTCTACTTATTTCTGTGGCTTAATATTAGTTACGACTTGGCATTAGACACTTCTTGTTCTGAATTTTTCATATTGCAGTTCGACGGATTTTCTGCAAGTCACCACACTTTTCAAGTTTGGATAGTTTCTGAAGTTTTTAGGTGTAGTTTATTTTTATTATTAGTTGTTAAAAATTTTTGGATCTTCAAAATGGTTCGACTGACAATTGATTTGATTGAAAATTCACCTCAGTACGTCAACACTCTTCGAGATCGAGAGCTTAGTTTAAGGGCATGCAAAATTCCAGTGTTGGAAAATGTCGGTGCAACAATGGTATGTGTTAAATTTATTATACATAATTCCCTGTAATAGTTTATGAACAGCATGTATTTTCAACATTATGGGCAATTTGGAATATGCTTATACTTTTATTTAATACTTTTTCTGAGTGTGCATTTAACCATTATTTTTTAGGACAAGTTTGATACTATTGATTTTACTGACAACGACATTAGAAAACTGGAAAACATTCCTTTACTGAAGCGGCTCAGTTGTTTATTGCTGCACAATAATCGAGTCCAGTGGGTTACTTACTTGAAAGCGATTGCATTTTAATATTCTTTAATTTAGGCTGTTCTGTTAATAATATTTATTGGCTTTTTTGTAACATTAAGTTTTGTGTGCCACATTTTACTGTTTGCAGGCAAATAATGCCAAACCTTGGCGGGGTCTTACCATCTTTACGGACATTAGCCTTAACCAACAATAACTTATGTGAGTTAGGGGATATTGATCCGCTCGCCACATGCAAGAAACTTGAATACCTCACGTAAAATTTGCTTAATTACTAATAATTTGTACTCAGACCACTTCAGGTTTGTTAAGTGGGAGTGTGCGTGTTATAAATTTTAACCGTCTCTGCTTAATCATTCTGCATTTATTTTTTTTATTGAAGGTTCTTTAATTTGAGTCGTGATACAATAGTTTGCGAACGAGAAGTGAGAGGAGTATAGGAATTGTATAATGTTAGAGAAGCATAGGTTGCCAGAATTTTTTTCAGCAAACATATTTTTAAGTTTGATGCGCAAATCCATTACCGAACTTTAGCTACTTCGCATTTTGAAGGACTATTTTTCAGTAGGCTCTTGGTAGTAATGTTACGAAACAGTATTTTCATAAAACAGTCATTTTTTTAGCACTTGAATTTTCATTTGTTAGAAATGAAGTTTTATGTTTCAGTTTAATTGGTAATCCAGTTACACATAAACCACAGTATCGTTCTTATGTGATATATAGAGTGCCATCTGTTCGAGTTTTGGATTTTAAAAGAGTCCGGTTAAGTGTAAGCATTACAATTTCTCGCACTGATTCATTCATCATTGTTTTAATGTCCTGTAGTTTAATTTCTTCACTACTTAATACGATGTGTATTGAATATTTAAAAGATCTCAGGAGAGGCAGGAAGCAGCAAAGTTATTCAAAGGGAAAGAGGGGAGGAAGTTACGAGAACAAGTGGTTAAAACTTCTGCAGCACTTCCAGATGATGAGTCAGGTTTTGGGTCAAGAAGATTACAGGATGAAGACGCCAGAAAGATTCAAGTAAGACTACTAGAAAAGATTAGCAGACATTATCAAGGGTTCTTGAACTAATCTTTGCATATTTTTAGGCCGCAATTGAATCAGCTTCTTCCATTGCTGAAGTTGAGTACTTACAAAACATCCTTCAAAGTGGTAGAATACCTGAAAAAGGTTGGCAGTTTTCTGGCGCTCAGAAGGAACACGATTCTCAAAGGTGTGATCTCAGATGATATTTCGACTTATCTTTATTTTATTTTTTAAGTAGTTAATTGAAATGGTTGGAGCGTGTATATTAGATTTTGAAGAAATTTTTCAAGTTTTATTGTAATTTGAAGGGATGGAGACGAAGAGTTTGTTGTGGAGAATGAAAATGAGGAAGCTGAAAATGGCGAAGTGCAATTTGTTGAAAATGGTACTGCACCTGTAGTAAATGGTGAAGTTAGTTATTCTTGTATTTTAATAACAAAGGATCTTTTTGATTAGTTTTAATTTCAGTGTTTTATTAGTTTATTTTTTTCTGTCTTTTTAAAATAACTTCTAGACATCTGCTTTGTTTTATCCGGATTAGAACCTCAAACCCGTTTCATTTAGGACATTGCTGAGTCAGCGGAGTCATTAGAGACGGAGAGCGCTCCAATGGAAGTCTGAAATTTGATCAAATGGTGGGTGTTAATTTAATTTTGAATAGAGGATATCCGGATCACAAATCAGTTATTTTGCCGATAAGTTGTTCTCTATCGAATTTTCCGTGTGCAACGTTTATTGTATTATTGGGCACTTCTTCCTTTACGTTGATCTCGAGAACAATATACAGATACTACACTGGCGTACTAAAGTGAAATGGTTTTTTCAAGTTACAACCGATTGTTTCATTAGTTTATTTTTTCTTTTTTTTCTTTAAATAAAGGTTACATGTATTTCTATTATTTCAAGCAAAAAAATTTTCCTGTATAACCAAAGTCATTCACTTGCTGGGCTTAAAAAGAAGCAGTTAGTATTGTTTGTTTAGGCTTTGAGTAGTTCACCTGATGTAAGTTTTAGATGTGTGCTTTTCAGTGTGGCTTACAATGAAGTCTAAATTGCCTTGCAAAAAGAGTTTAGAAATAATTCTCTTGTTCTTCATTTTCGTTACTCAGGCTATCAGTATCGCCAGTGCAAGCTTCATCTCGCATTCATTCATTTAATACGGTACAACTTTTCGAAACAACAGCATACCAGACCATACCCGCGACTTGCCAGAACCAAAAGCTAAAATGCGACAAGTCATTTTTATTGGAGCGGAGTTTTTTTTTTTTTGATAAAAGCCAGGTTTTCTGCACAAACTTGTTTGAGGAACATCGGAAGTTTTATTAATTTGTCTGCTTTTCCTAGTGAGCGTGTTTACTACAGTATCCTGCCTTCCCAAAATTTAAACGGTCCGAAAATATGTAAAATGCATCAGTTCTGCTGACAGTAAGATTCCGGCCTAGGAAGATACTTTAATGTTAGAAAACACGCCTTTTAAAAGAAATTTTTCGTTAAAGGTCTCTAATGGGTGGTTTGTGTTGCACGCTAATTTTGTCAACCAGTTGCGCTATGTAGCCGCAACGCAATTTTTAATTTTAACTGTAATGCGAAAAGTAGTTTAAAGGTTTTTAAAAGTAGTTTACTACCAAAAAGGCAGCTTATCTGTATCTTAGCATCTCATTTTTCCCCATATTTCACCTTTAGACTTTTCAGTTAAATAAATATGTATAAGTATATATCTGTACTTTGAAGGTCATATGGATCATTCCTGCTAATTCTGTTGGTGGTAGGAGATGAAAGGAATACAGAAAAATTATTATTTTTATTAAGTGTTATCGTACAGAATATTAATATTAGCTGCAGACCGACTCCTATTCGTTAATATACTTGAATTTTGTGTGCTTTATTGACTGCAGACTACTGTCAGTGAAAGACTCTTAACCTGGAGAAACGAAGAAACTTGAGCCTATTGTGATACTGTAATTGAAAAATGGAAATTTTTTTGATGAGGCGGTCTAATGTACAACTTCTCCCCAACTAGACTTCCCTAATCGTTCACTGACGTCTAGCTTTCAGCACAGGGATTTCCCTGAGCCGTTGTACACATCAATGCCTAAAATGGTGGTCGTTGTTGGTCCGAATTGTAAAGACTTGTCATGGAAAGCCACTATATGAAATTGTCGTATCTCTGACTCCAATCGGTACCGAATTTTCTCAAATTTTGGAGCAGTTATTTTGGGTCCAAGTAGTAAAGTACAACTGTCCAAGTTGTTAATCATTTCATTACAAATGTACAACTGCGAACCAAAAGTTGTAAGAAGTGCCTGCAAATGGAGACAAATGTAGGTTTTTACATTTTCAAAAAGATTTGGTGGGAATTGCCAATAATGATGTAAATTAAGTCATTAGTGCAAAAGTTTAGTGTTCTACTGGCTTTATAGTTTTTTGGCTTGTAGGGTTTACTCAAACTGTTCTGGCTATAATAAGAGATCAAACGTCACTGAATTGCTAATTTAGATTAAAAGGAGCTGTAAATTGTGTAAATTATTTTTGGTCCAACTTTTTAGGTTTTTGAACATTAGGATACTGCTGGCAACTTCCTAATTAAAAAACGCCAAATTTTTGGAGGGTTGGTTACTGAAAGTCTTCTCAAAACCTCTGAGAATAAGAGCAATTGTGGTATTAATTTTAATTGTTAAGGCATTATTAATGTTACATCGATTTCTATTTCCAACGGTTCGTCGGTTTCGAAGACTGGAGACCGCAGGACGGCACGATTTGTTTTTTCTCCAATAACGGCACTGACACCTGCAAATTTTATCTGTTATGTTGAGTACTGAAGCAGTTACGTTGAAATATATAAGTTTCAAGGGTAACAGTTGATAGACTGTATTAGAGTAATGACCCATAACGTCTACCTGAATTTTCCGAAACTGTGAAGTTTGTATCTGTGTCTTCCACCGAAATGGACGAATAGTTACAGAGAGTATCAGTAAAGGTACACCTTAAGGTTTGACAGGCTACTTGTGGAATGGAAAATAATGGACAAAATTGGCCTTCAGTTTTGATGCGTCGAATAACGGCTATTGCTGGTTCGGTACTGCTGGCTCTAATCTGTACGCTCAATGTTTTGTTCGACAGCAAAGCTATCGATAACAATCCTGAAATTTTTGTTTACCATTTGTATACCAATTTTTGTATACTGAAAAGGGTTTCGCTAATTTACTGCGCTAATTTGGGTATTTTTTATTGTGTATACAGTATCTCGAGCAGTGAGACGGGCAGATGGAGAGGAAGACTATTAGGTTAACTTTTTTTTTTTTGAGTTAGTTATATGGCTCAAGACCATTAGGTGGATTTCTAAATAAGCTTTTTTTACTACACCTTTTTCTGAATAAAGATTAGTATTGGAGGGCTTGAGAAATTTGGTGTGAAGTATGAACTTAATAAGTATTTTGATATGACGACTTATCTAGGATCTGTCTGGAGTACTGTTATGACCACTTTTTTACGACTTGAAAATCTTATGATGGGTCATTATCTTATGAGGTAGACAGCAGTCCTTATTGTCATTTATTGAAAATTTATTAGTTTATCATTGTTATTCTTCTTTTTTTAATAAGGCTACTTCTAGTGTAGAAAGGAGAGAGCGGCAAATGGAATACGTCTAAATGATGTTGCTGATCTTCCACTCAACTAACAGTTGTAAACTTCTCATAATTAGTTATGTTTTTGGTGGCTGACTCTGTAAAGCAATTGCTGAATAAAAAAGGAGCGGTTTATTAAGTACAGCCAGTCTAATATTTAATTTAAAAAATGCCGTCCTCGTTCAATAATTATTTAATACAACTTTTGATACTTAATCTTAATTTAATTATTTCCGCAAATATTTTTTGGAATTACAATATTTAATTTAGAAACAAATGTTGGCGTAAATTTTTGAGCTGACTTTTGATTAGCTTTACACACCTTATTTGGTGGCATAAGTAGCTCAATTTTAATCAGCGAAAAAGACAGTTAAAAATACAACACAAATACAAGGATGTATAAGGACAAAAGACTATAATTTATAAATATGTTTTGTCCCGGAAATTTGCTGAAGAACTGAAAAGTTAGGCAAAGAAAACCCATTATAATTTTTGGTAATTAATTGGTTCTACATTCGCGAATCACAGATTTGCAAAAACTGGTGTACAAATTTAAATTTCTAACCTGATGAATTTTTTGCCGGGATGCACTCATTTTCGACGCATATCTTTAGATTAGCTTTTTCAGAACGAAAATAGTGCACAGATATTTTTCCATTTGCACAGGGGAAAGGAAGCGATCGAAGAACTGCTTTATTAGTGCCACTGAGGGTTGCTACTACTACGTTACCTGCACAAATATAGATTATTTTCTTTACGCAACATATCAAGTTATAAAATTTTTTTTCAGTAATGATATGTAATACAGGATTTAAGAGGAGGAGTTTTAACCTTCAATGAATTTCGGCAGTTTGAACCCTTCTGAAGGAGTTGTTCCGTAGCCCCAGTTCTCATCACTTTGCCACTGTGAGCAATAGTTTTCTTCAAAATCACAGTCTAATATAGGTGGCTGAATCTGTTTAAATCAGCGATTGAAAGGACGTTTTTAAAATGTTAGCGAAGGTAAACGTTGAAAAAAAATGACCTACAGCAACGAATAATTTACAATACTTTTTGAAAGAACGCTTCAGAAGTAAAGCGTCATTTATGTCCTTTTTAATCTTATTATTCAAAGTATTTGATTTAATAATAAACCAGTAAAATATAACTACTTGTATCAGCACTACAATTTAGTAAGAAAAGTATTTGCATTTTATGAAACTTTTGTTTAGTTCTTTATAACGATCATACACAAATTTGCCTACTCTCGTTTCTCAATTTAGAGAGCCAAACCAAATCGGAAGAATTACCTCTGGATTGACGTGCAGCTTCTCTTTTGGTCTTCGTAGTTCAAACAATGCAGCTGCAGTACGAATGTTTATAGTCGTAGGTGGTGCTACAGTAGTTTCATGGCACAGAAGGCCTTCAAAACGAATATCGTCGATAACTGCAAGTCCACCGAGAGATTCGTCAAATTTGATCATTTCTATCACAAACTGAAATCCTCAAGGCACTTAAAACTGCACTGGTCAGCAAATTGATCTATGTACTATCAAACCCACTCTAAATGGCTCCTCAGACGGTGAATCTACATCAATGTGAATTGGACCAGGCATATCGTTTTCGTTTAAGTATACGCAACTGATTACAACATTTGAAGCAGTTTCTGTGCATACTTGTACTTGAGTCCCTGTTTGTAGCCAAAACCTAAAAATTTTTTTCACTTTTGGAGAGTTGAATAAATACACCGTTGAAATTCCGGCTACAGTGTGATAGAGGTTCCGAAACATTAATGAATCCGCAGATTTACAACAAAACTGTTAGGGGGTTTTGAAATTGAAAATGGTGTTAATGCAAAAACCTTAATGACAGAGATGAAGCACTGGAAGTACATGGTATCAATTCAGACCGTAATTGTGAATACGGTTTTTCTACCATCTCATCGACGAACTGATAGAAGAATGTTTTGTAGGGCGTTGCATCTAGAGTAAAATATTCTTTCCATTTTAAAAGATTCCTTCCAATTCTCCACTCAGAAGGAGAAGACAGGGAATTTGACCAACGACAAGTTATATCGAAATCACCACAGCTGTATTCGTATGCATGCTCAGGTTTGTTCCGTTTAAGCGGTGGAGGAACCGGTCTTCCGCCAAATTCAGACCATCTGGCTGGAAGATTTACAAAAATTTTAATAAAATTTATCATGTTTTATCGCTTTTGGACTACCATTTTTATCATGTACTTAAAACTAATTTTATTAAGGCTACTATTAACCTTCTGATACTACCTGATTCAATGCAGATATCGCCTATGTAATTGATGTTTGATATCATTGCAAAGCTACCGACAGAGGGATCTTTTAAATTAAACGCTCGTATACCAATCCTAAAAGGTTCAGTCATTGGCGGCAATACTACCAAACAGGTTTGACCTTGCGGTGTAAAAGCATGACATTCCATTAACGGCCGAAGGAGAAGCTGAAGAAATGGATTGTAAAACAGTATATATGCTTAATGCATCTTTTAAAAGACATTATAAGTAGCAAAAAATTTTTTAAAATGAAATTTCTGCGTACTGAAGCGCCTAAAATGGTACCTGCAGCTTTCTGAGTTTTATATTTGGTTTCAATAAGACCACTTCAATTTTTGCACCATTGTAAAGCCAGTAACTAAAAAAAGAAAACGGAAACTCAGAGCTATATCGAGCAAAAAAGTACAGTATAGATGTCTCTTGGTTTCAAAGAACAGCATGCAAAAATATAATCAGACCGTTAAGGTTGCTTTAAGTAATCTAATATAACATATGCTGCTTTGAATTGTTTTTCGCTGTAATAACACAATTAATAGATGACAGCTTAAACCAAGATGTGTACATATCTTACTCAAATGACAAGTGCCCTTCGGTTCGCTGGCACGCAATTGGAGCACTGATAAGAACAGCACGTTGAGCCTGAGACGTCGTATTTCCAGCAAGCGCAAATAAAGACCCTTAAAAATGCCAGTGCCACTGATTTCTTTTTCTTTCTTTTACTCAATCATTTATGTGAGTTATCCAGCCTGATGTTTTAATGTGCTTCTTTAAAGTTATCAAATAAATGACAATTGGTACTATTTGATGTTGCAACTGGTGTTAATATTTCAAGTTTTTAATTACGGTAATGCTTTGATTGTAAATTTTTTACGAGGCGGCAGTGAAATGTAGTAAATAAAAAGAAACCTGGAGCAGGATTCAGAATTCCATGTTGGACTTGTAACGGAAATGTTTTGTCGTTAAATTTGGTAAACAAATAAAAATCCGATGTATCCAGCAGTCCATCGGTTCGAGCATTACGCCAATAACAAGGTTCCGTAAATTGGCAATTCAATCGCGATGACGAGTCAATATAATGATTGAATGCCGCATCTATGGGAATGAAAATAAAGATAAAACAAATTTTTGTTGGAAAAAAATAAAACATCCAAAACTGTCATGAAATAAATATGGAGAAAAAACTATCATTTAAAAAAAACAAATTTTTTCGCACTTCTTTATCAACAGTTCGGCAAAAAATTTTGGATACCAAATATCTTCCACCCCAACAACAAATGTAATGAAAGACCTATATACAGGTAAATAAAAAATATAAATGTGATTATTGAATTAATAGAAACTTTGTCATCAATTTTTCCCCTCAACAATTATTAAAAAATTTTTGATTCTTCTTTTTTTTTCCTGTTTTGTTAAATTAGTTAATGTAAGTAATTAAAGAGAAAAATGATAAAAAAACTTCTCTACTCATTTCTTTTAAAAACATAAACAATAATAAAAATATTTCTTTCCCTACATTTATCACACTGCTAAATTTATTTTAGTGTATTTATACAAGTATTAACCAACAAACAGTCTTCATTTATAAATTGAAAATAAAGTTTTGTGTAAATGAAAGTTTATGCAAAATTTTTATTTGTTCATTTCCCTTTCTTTTTGACACATAAAAAAATGATGTTTTGAAAAATTTTACCTTCCGTTAAACTTTAATGCAAAAATACATAACAAAATTAGGGCAAAACTCTCGATTTTTTTCACAGCTTTATTCAAGGACATTATCATACAATACTTTGATGTTCATTTGAAAAAATAGCAAAAAAAAAGGCATCTCCAAATATCAGTTTATTTAAGGCTCTAAAACTTTAGAAATTTAGAATTTGTTAAAAAGAAAGAATAAAAATACAAAAAAAAATTAATAATAATCCAAACAGTCTGTTAATTACTTCAAAAACTGCAAAACAATCAACAATGACGGTGTACAGTAACGGTGGAACACAGCTGATTTTTTTCAGGAACATACCGTTTGATGGAATCTGTCCTTGGTTGTGCGGTTGTATCCCTAAGTAATGGTACAGATAACGCAGTTCCTTCTCATAGCCGGGTAAACAGCCTAAGACAAAAGCGGGCAGGAAGACAATTAGGATGTATAACCGCATGACATCAACAACTGTTTTGACGATATGGTATCTGGGACAATGCCATTTGCCGTTTTTAAGAACACTTTTTCATTGTCCAGTTTTTGTTTTGTTGAAAAATTTTCAACACAAATATCGCCCCATTGTTTAGAGTACATTTCCTAATTGTTACTGAAAACAATTTGGTTAAAATCCACCTTTATCACATTTAATTGTTTTTGTATTTGTTTGTGTCTCTACCTGTCCGTATGTGTAAACGTCTAATCCAGAAGAACGACGACCGTTCATCGCAGTAGTCACCAAGCGACTTTCAATAACAATACCGACACTTCTTCCTTGTTTCATTCTGAATTTCCATACCAACTAAGACTATTAGATATGGTGCGAAAGTTTCACATCTAACTTTTAAACACTGTTTAACCTACCCCTTTAAAATACTTTCGGCAGTCCTTAAAAAGATTTTAAAAAACTTAAAATTTTTATCTTTTTCTCACTAGCATTAGTTGAAAAGATAGCTATTTTACTGGAACCATTTGCAAAATAATAAAATAAAAAATAAATAAATCTTAAATGAGAGCTTAATGTAAATTAACAGGTTGCGACAAAGAAAGCTGCTTCTTCTTCCTGCTTCTCTTTCATAGCAGTCCGTAATTGAGTATCTTAATAAAGAGAGCATTGCTCAGGCAAAACAGTACTGCACTTAAAAACCCCACAGTCTTCCAATATTCATTTC